GAAGTGCTCTCGCCTTAGATGATCTTGATATCAGTTTAAAACTTGAGAAGCTGTTCAAACCAAAACTGTGGTCTTGGATAAACCCACACTGTCTTGTGCTTACGGTAATAGCGGGTGTTTTGCTGCTGGATTGTCCGGATTAAAGCAATCCGTTGCATCCTCTCCATATGTCAAGACATTAGTCACATCCTCTGAAAGAAATGTCATCCCCTTCGACGAAATATGACGAGAATCAGTATAAAAGAAGTCATTAAAAATGTTTCGTCTCCCGCCATTTTATCAAAGTTGTGCGCTTTTGTAATTTGAATCTTCTGAGTAAACGGCTTAAATTTCACTGTGAAAACACATGTCAAGTTTAACTAGTAAATGTCGGTCTGTAAACAAACATGTAAAAAGAATGTTCAGCTAGTTAATCGACCTAGTGAAAACACAGCCTTAAAGACTGTGGACCACGGTTGACCGCGACAGTTGGGAATGTGTCACGCAACAAAAATATCAATGAGATGTCAACGCCGTGCCTCTGAGACTCTGTGTTAACAGGATGCATATTTTGGTCACATGCAACACTGTGTCTGGCTCAGGTCCAAAAAATGAATAGCCCATTGGAAGATGCCGTTAGTCTACTGTTCCATCCAGTGTTGGAAAATGATAAAGCTGCAAGGCAAAAAAGAAAAAAAATTGCAGGGTATTGTTTAGTTTTTATTTTTATGTTAAGTTAATTTGAAGTACTGTACTTGTACTACAGTAACCCTATTTACATTTAACACAGATTTCTGCAGTGTAAGCATTTCTGTCAATGAATTTACCAACCTGATACTTTCTTCTTCCTTTAGGCAACTTTTGTGTTTTCCTGTGGGTGATCCAAACTTCACAAAACAAATCAGTAAGAAATTCTGCTGCAAGCTGAGATATGTTTTGGTGCCTAGACCTCTTGGGTAGTGTTGTATTTCCAGGTGGGAAAGTCCCCTGTCAGAATGCTAACAAATTGCCTCAAGTAGTTGTTTGACTCGGGTGCCTCTGTCAGAAGATGGGTAAGAGCATTGTTGTAATTTTGCACACATTTTAGATTTTGCTCAAATTCATCTATTAACCATGTTGTGCTGAGGAGTTTGAAATCATGTCAATCCTCACCTGAATAAACCTTAAAGGGAAAGTACAGTCTAGAAAAAGTTTACCTATATCAAAAGTTCCTTGCTTGCATTGTCCTAACTGACTATTCATTTGAGCTAAAAGCGTTTTAGTTGCAAACAATTACATTCCAAAAATCGGCAATTTCAAATTGAAATCCGCCATCTTTGTTATGACATAGCAATGGTCAAGCATGCTAAATTATATCCCTACTGAGGTGGATGTAAACAAGGTAAACAGCAGAGAGGGGGGCGCCACTAATTAAATTCTCAACTTTGATTTTAATTTAGCCGAGAGGCTCTTTTCAGTCACTTAGGACACAAGGCTTTAAAAGATGTCCCAGCTTTAGGATTGAGTTGCCCTTAATACAAATTACCGTCAGCGAGTTCTTTTTCAAAGAAGGGTTTCGGTAGATTTTCCAGTTTTTACAATTTTTTTTTTTTTCTTTTTGCTGTGTTTATATTAAGTGGTGATTTTTATCATTTCCTTTTTCAGCTGGAATTGCTTACTAGAGGAAAGAACTGTAGAACTTAATTATCACATGGCCCCCAAATCCCTCACTACTGTCAAGTCATTGATTATTTATTTATACAAGCTAAGAGAAATATTTTGCTTTTCATCCTCTTACCATCAGCTGTACTTGTTGTTTGGCTTGTAATAAGAGTTTTTTCAGACCAACAGATTGTAACATACTTCTTGTAATTTATTAGGTTAAAAAATATGGTCGCAGAGGGTGTATGTGATTTTTTTGTGCAGTTGAAAGGATAAATAAGTATAACTTTCATTGGGGAACAATTGATTCATTTAACTATTCATATTGCAACTCAAAGACCAAACTATAACTTGTATTAATTTAAATTTTCCTAACCCTTTAGACATTTTTGTAGAAGCTGAGTATGTAAATTTCTGCTTGGATGCTATGCAAGGAGAGAGACTGTTAATTAATTAAAACTGGTAACACCTTAGGGCTCCTTGCTGTCAAAGGCTAGTGAAAAATAATAGGAGTTGTGAACAACCCAAAGCTCAGTCAAGAGGCAAGGAACCTAATCAATGAAGTGTAATGGGGAATGGGATGTAAGCAAACAGTCAGCTGTTGTGTTCTTTGTCATGGCTTCAGGCAGGGATTTCTATAGGCAACAGACTAGTCTTTCTCGTTTTTTTTTTTTTTTACACACCTCCAATCATGGTGCAATTCCCATCTGTTGAGATTTAGGGAGAGTTTGACTGAAATAAAGTATTCATTTTTAATGAAATTTGTCTCTTTATTAACTATAATTATCTGATGTTATTTCCAAGACTACTGATCAAAAAGAAGTTCCTTTGCTCTAACAAAATCCATGATAATTCCTCCATTTCTCCTTAGATTTATTCATCATGTCTCTAGTACTAACCTTATCTTACTTTTCTTAACTTGACATTGACCCTTTGTGTTTTGGTAATTGGTCCCACTGGTTGATTCATTTCAAAGAACTTTTGAACCAAAACATAAACTTCTGTTAACATTTATTTTTTGCTTTAACTGCAAGTACATTGCACCAACAGTTGAAGCTCCAGGAAGCACTCACAGGAAAATGAGTATTTCATTTTTCTATTACATCAAAAATGAGTACTTCAAATATTCAACAATAACTTGAGATAGCAATGACACGATGATTTGCATTCTCAAGTAACAGGCTTCCAGCATGCTTTTAGGTATGTCTCTTTTTACCTTCAATGAATTTTGTTTTTCAATATCTCCTGACCAATTTAAGTGGGATTTTCCGAATGTACACACACTTATTTGCCTGATCATGTGACTTTTATGCACAATACAGGACACAGTGCAATATTGAGGAATCACCTAAGAATAAGCAGTTATCTCGTATTTGGTAGGACTTCTTGAAATCATATTTTTGCAGGGTCTCACATCTGTAGCAAAGGCACAAGTATTCATTTTGAAAAGAGAGGTTGAACTATATTAAGCAAACATTCCAGTAGTGTTCCCAATTTGGATGAAGAAGGTTAAGAAGTTATTTGAAAATTTCCTTCGGTATATGATAAGAGATATTATTGTAGTATCTACATTTACTTAGTAAAAAGTGCACAAAAAAACTCTAGACTTACACTGTCGCAGAAGTATGAATAACTCTTGCCACCAAAAGCAATCAGAATGGGAGAGTGCCATCAACACTAACTTGTAAGGGTAAGAAGGCTTCCCTGGGATTAAGTTGTCTTGTCGCCTCACATATATTCACAAATCAAAACTAGAATATGGCAGGGGGTAGAGAAAGATGGCTACATTGTAAGTGGGTATTAGTAAACTCTCTGAAAGGAAGTGGGTTGTTTTTTTAAAAGATGCCTAAAATATTTTTTATTCACTTCCCCAAGGAATAGTGGTTCACTACTTGAGTGTCCAGTGGAAAGTTGCAATGAAAGTGTGTCAGAGTCACAGGTATTTCTGACTATCTTTTATATAATTTTTACTATCACTGCAATTGATAGGCTTACCTGTGATTGATTACTAGTTTTCTAGTGTAGAAAAAATCCAGCAAATCCTGAAGATGACATGACATTTTCACAAAATTTGATTACAACAGTCAAATAATGATAGCAAAAAGTTTAAGATGGTTTAAAACGATTTAAGTGATAGAACCATTTTAACCACCTTAGATTCCTAGCTGTCTTTAATATATGTTTATTGTAATCAGATTTAGTGAACCCCATCTGTTCACTAATTTTGATATGAATTAAGTCACATACAGCAAATCAATTATCGGCTACTTTCAATTTGTTTTAGAAATCATAACAAAGAGTCAAAAGAAATTAAACTTATCATTGTGTAATAGGACAACATGCTGTCCAATTTTGAAATACTTGGATGAAAACAATTCTGATGGGCTGCAGGCACATCAGTCAATTCTGATGACAGCCAACATTGGACAAGGCTGTAGTCCTCTTAGTAATTATGTAGATGTAATTGGGCATTGCTCAGTCAAGCTATTCTTCTTTAATGTTTTAAAACTGTCCAAGGATTCATTTTGATAGTTTGAAACTTCCCATTTTGAATCCTTAAATGGACAGTTTTAAAAAAATTAAAAAATAATAGCTATCCAGAAAATTTGGAATTACCACCAGTTATACAATTAATTTTTGTAATATTTTAAGAGACTCTAAACAGTTGTTTTCTGAAACTTTGAAGAAATACAAATCTTACTATGCTGATAATATTTGAATTTAATACTTGGGCTGCAGGCACATCAGTGCTACAATTAACTAAAGGGTGTTTCTAATATGCTGTACTTTTACTAGTGAAGACTAAGGGGGAAAATGATCAAAAGATTTTAAAAAATAAATGGGAATTTTTGTGACACCAGTTTTGGGTAAACACACAAAAAGTGGGGTAGTATCAATTCATAAAACAATTGGTTTTGAAATATAACAAAAACACTTTGCACCGCCATAAGTTTTGAGTCTAATGCCTTTAAATATTTTTTGGCATGAAGTCTGATTTGTAATGCGAGGCAAGTTATGCAAAGCTCAGTTTGTCACTTAGAATTGAACCTGTAACGTGTACATTTACAAAAGTGCATTTTGTTATTTTTTATCTATAATGATCATAGATCTACCCAGACAAGTTTGCAGAACGAGAAATGAGGGACTTGCAGGTTTTATGTCAAGCAAATAAAGGAGATGAGTGCCTTTGGAAAGGACCCCTTGGAAAGTTAGAGGTATTTGCAAATGTCAGTCAAAGATGCTTTTTACACCTGAGAGTTTTGTGGGAAGGAAAACAAATTGACAATACTTGCAACTTTATTTTGTTGAATTGGGAATGTGAATTTTGGAATGGCACAAATTGCTTTTTCAGAAAATGGAAGACATTTAAAATTATCAGTGTCCATATGTTCTGATTGGCTGTGATAATGACTGTGAGAAGAAAGTAAAGCGAAAAGATCTCCAGAAGCACATGGCAACTGAGTGTTTGCTTCGCAAAATTCCTTGTGATTATTGTAATGAGGCAGTTTTGTGGAATGGATTGGAGGTAGGTGTAGATTTCTAACTGATATTGCATTTATCATTCACACAATCATGCACCACATTGTAACCCAGTTGTGTAAATTTCTATAACCTAGGACATTTTCTTTTATGTACAGACTATAAAATGGATTTTTATGATTGTTATGTTATTACTCTTGCAAAAATAAAATGTGTAGGAAATCATTTGAAATTTATTATTTTACCTTTCAGTCATCCCTCCTCAAAATTGCCATATTTGAGTTCTTTCTAGACAGTCAAACTCGTACATTTTCAAAGTGGAAGAAAAGAATAATGGAATTAAAGCATCAAATAAGCCTCAGAAAAATTTAGCTAGCTTGGGCATTAAATCGGTGCAACAGCTGAACAGTTATTTACTTGATTTATTTGCTTGATTTACTGAATAAGAAAGTTGCATTTGTCAGTTAATAGGTTGGCTTTTAATGTAACTGTATCTGAACTGAATGATTTTAACAGCAACATTTTGAAAACTGCATCAAGTATCCACAGCAATGTGAAAAGTGTAGAGAGGAAGGTACAGAGAGAGGCAAGGTGGGATTTTTCTGTTTAATTTACCCATTCCTAAAGTTAACCACCAGATAAACCAGAACCCTCATACATATATTTATTATCATTATGAGGATCAATTTTTTAGCCATTGTCATTCTCTTTAATATTTATCATTGTCATTATTTTAACTGTTGTCATATTATTGTAAATAATTTAAAATTGAAAAGCAACTAAAGTCAGTGTTAGTGTTTATATTGCTACACTGAGATGCAATCTCTGATCAGTAAATTTTTTCCGAATTATGTAGACCTCTTGGTTGTCAGTCAAAGTCTTTAAATACTAGAATATGAAAGCATGAGGCAAATTATGTATGCCAAGTGAAAGACTTCAGTCTGTGAAAAATTGAATAAACTGTAAAATGAGAAACAAAGTACTTAAAAAAAAAGAAAAATGACATTTTGATGAGGTTACTAAATAAATTTCATTATCTTTCCTTTGTTAGATGGAATTCCACCTAGAACAGCAGTGCTTAAAGTGCACCTGACCCCTAAACTTTTTTTTCCCTTAAAAATATCTTCCTGCTTTGGTGAGTATTTCTTCGAAAAAATTGTTGGATTTGGTTAGACCCTCATTTTTTTATGCCTTGTTGAAGTTGAGATCCAAATGGACCACAACCGCGTAAATGGGGATCTGGGCAGAGTAGACTTGTGACGTCACTTCGAGAAGACGCTCAAGGAATTCTCAGCCAGTCGTCGACCTGTGAAAGCCTTTCTAGCACTAGATTCATTCTGCGGCATATTTGCAACCAATATCAATCTAACCTTCCAAACATAACCAGTGAACTGTGCAAAATGGCGCGAAATAAAGATTGTTGGGTTCTCGAAGTGACGTCACATTAGTCACTAGACTCTTGATCCTTGAAACGCGGTCATGAGTCAAAACGGCGGTGATTTTAATGCAATTTTCCATACCTCAACAGGGCACAAAAATTCAAGGATTTGACCAAATCCAAAAATTTTTTCGAAGAGATACTCACCAAAGCATGAAGAATTTTTTTAAACGAAAAAAATTTAGGGGTTAGGTGCACTTTAATGTGAGAATTAAATGCCCCCTTCACAGATGCACAACCCAAATTGATTTATGATGGCTGTTAATAACTGCAAGATAGTTATCGATTTCTGGTGATTTGTAATCAGCTCAAAAGAATTAATCCCTTTTCAGCTAAAGTAACATGTTATCCTTTACAATGACTTTTATACTTGAATCTTTAGTGAGGTATCATGCAAACTCTTTGATATAGTATGACATTTCTTACTGTATTAAAATGAATCTGAAAGATAGAAAAGCTCCCACTTAAGCTTAGTTACTTCATACATATGTCCATGTAAGTGACTGTATCACATTAACAGGTATTAGACGGGACGGTACAAAACGTGAACCCCCCTTTTGGACCCCCTTCTGGACCCCTTAACTAGATTACAAAAGGATAAAAACAATAAATACCTAGTCCCTGAAGCTTCAAAAAGTGCCACTAGAAATGTTAATTCTCCCATGTGCTATTGAGGGTGCCATTTTGTTTATAAGTTAGAGTGGAGACCTCGGCACAAGCTACAAAACTTCCTGTGTTTCTTCTGATCGGCCGCTTCGATTAGATTTTTCCACCATTTTGATTGCATCATCTCATATCCTTGGCTACCACCACTGACCAGAAAAATTGTGGTCATCTGTACACTGAGCTCTATGGTGGAATGTTGAAGGTGGATGTGTGATTTTTCACATTTTTTATGCAATCTCGACATTCCTGAGGTCATCGATAAACAATCACGACATTTTCTTGCCAAACAATCACACCTTACCTTCAACATTCTACCATAGAGCTCGGGAGAGCTCGTTGTATGGAGACCACAATTTTCTTGGTCAGCGGTGGTAACCAAGGACATGAGATGATGCAACCAAAATGGTGGAATAATCTGATTGGCCGGATCAGAGGAAAAAATGGAAGTTTTGTAGCCTTGTACCGAGGTCCCTACTCTTATTTAGAAACAAAATGGATTCCATTAGAGCACAGGGAGAATTAACACTTCTAGTGGCACTTTTTGAAGCTTCAGGCAAATGATTGTAGCATGAAATGTCACTTTGATGATGACCTCTGAAGTCGCACTGGGCAGTTATTGTTTTCATCCTTTCTTAATCCAGTTCAAGGGAGGTCCAAAAGGGGGTCCAGAAGGGGCATCCACGTTTTGTACCGTTCTGGTATTAGACTTCAGTGATCTGTAAGGTAAAAAGAAATCAACATGCTGAACTAACAGCTCTACCTCTGAGCTTGGTTAATAAGCTATATATCATTGTGTCTAGTTTTATTCTCCACTGACCTTTCTTCTCATCAACAAATTCATCAATTAGGTTTCTCACAGACTCTTCTGTTTTTTAGGGTCTTCAATCTTCATTCTTCAAACAGCAAAGAGATATAGAGGAACTGAGGAATTGTGTAACTTTGCTTAGTAACGAAGTGTGTTATCTGAAACATCAACAGAAGGAGATAAAGGACGCACAAATGATACTTGAGACACCACTGCAAGCACAAGAAATCAGGTAAGTTTTCCAGGACCTGGAGTACTGATGATTACTCTTTGGTGATTTAAAATTTTAAATTGTTCCCTAATAGTTGAAGTCCTAGAATTTGCCAAGATTGCCCTTTACCAATTGACCTAAATCTCATTTCCATATTGGTATGAGAAAAAATGATTTGAAATTAATCTAGCGATAGATATGGTTATTTATGAGACAGGAGAAAGCATAGCCTAATTTTTTAATCCATTGAGCCATTTTTAATTCATATTGACCTTTACATTGACTTACATTTTTTCAGTGAAAAGCAGTAGGATTTTTCACTTAAAAATTACAGGTTGACAAGGCAATTAGGTGAGATATACAACTGGAAGATAGAAAACATTGGACACTGTTTCCAAGATGCTATCAATGGAGGAAGGACAGCAAAGTATAGCCCTCCATTTTACACTAGTATGGATGGTGGGTACAAGTTGCGCATGCGAATTCACTTGAATGGTGTGGATGATGGCATTGGTAAACACGTGGCATTGTTCCTTCATTTGATGGAAGGCCATTATGATGCAATCTTGGATTGGCCATTGGTGAGAAAGTTCAGAATGTCCATCTTGGATCAATCAGAAGACAAAGAAGTACGTCATGATATCAGTGAAACCCTGGTCAGTAATCCTCAATGGCAAGCATGTCAAAGACCACCAGACAACTATTGTCGTGGATTTGGTTACCCAAAATTTGCTCCTCTTGAGCAGATTTTTCAGCCACAGTACACCAAGAATGATACTCTGTTGGTGAAGTTTGAGATGATTGGTTAGTCCAGCTCTACCATGACTTGCTTGTAATCTTTAAAACATTTCCACATTTGTAGGAAGATTATAACTGAACTCTGCTAGCTTTGTGGGTTATTTGTTGATAATTAGTTGGTGACTTGTGATTTGATATACTTGTATGTCAGTTCTACATCCCTAACTGATCACTTTTGTTATAATTCCAGTCATCAGTATAATGATGTAGTGATGTAAAAAAGTTGCATAGTGCAAGATGTTGGTGCAAAAGAAAGTTAGTTTTTAAAATGGTCCTGTAATTGTTTTCCGTTGGTTTATACCTACTTTTTTAATGTAACTTGAGCATGTGCTTGCATTGCAACTAAAATTGGTTGAAATCAAAGAAGAACATGTTGGGGCCTGGAGGAGGCCCCTTACAGTTGATGTTGCACACGACAATTGAGCTTTGACTGCTTGTAGCATTACAATCATGATTCTTTCACTGTAAGGTTCAGTAAAACAAGGAATTTTGTCAAGTTACCTATATCAGAGCTTTCCTCTTGAAAGAGTTGCCGTAGAGATCAAGCTTTAACTTGAAGTGTTGGTAACAGCCAAGAACATTTTGCCATTCTACATATGTAAAGCACTTAGTATTTAGGATTCAATTTAACTGAAAATTTTAGTGCTAAATAAATGGCTTTATCTTTCTATGGTTACATCACTTTTTTGATGTCATTTCTTGAAGGGAAAAAAGTTTCTTTTGTTACTAGATCAAAAAAAAAGAAGAACTTAGTAAACAACCAGGAACTGTTCCAATTTGTGCATAAACTGTGCCCATAAAGGGGAAAGAAATGACAAGGTGAAAGTATTGATTTTTATGTAAGACATTTACATGTAATGAAAAATTTTTGTCTTAGTTGAGCAAAATACAGAGACAAAATGGAACAAAATTGAACTCTCCTTTGCACCAACCCTAGGTCTCCAATGTAGGAGTTAATGGCTAAATTGAGAGTGTTATTGCATTTGAGCTCAATAAATGTAGAAAGAGTTTAACTTAAAATTACTTCTAGAAACTGAAAATATTCAAATAATTAATGTAACGACTGCTACCAAATCGTAAATGATTAATTGACTGTGGGCTTGATCAGCCTTAAGTAGTACTTAGGCTGGCTTATCCAAAACTTAGTTAAACATATTGTAGGCTGAAAAAAATCTAAGAATTAGTTATAGGACTGTATGTATTTTGTTCTAAACAACTGATAAATGAAGGTGAAACTAGGTAGCATGGGGCTAGAGTGGTTCTTAGAACATTTTAGAGAAAATATGTAAAGCTATGTTAGAGGCTTGTTTTTTATGCATGAGGCTCAAAATGTTTTACGCATATTTTATCTGCTACTGTGATTTTTTTTTTCAGTTTTAAAACATCTGTATTTCCATTATTATTGTACTTAGGTGAGGAGTGGTAGTCAGTCCAGAACAATGGCAATAGGCCATTTTACAGTTGTGTACTTAGTTGCCAAGCCTTTGATTCAGAGTGAGGCTAAAGGTGACCTTGTTGTGATAGAGACCTGTATCTAGTTAGCATGATAACAAAGTGAATTACCAGATACAATGAAATATATGGAGTTCATATATTTTGAACTGCGGTATTAGATACGTATGATGCACGATCCTCGCAGTAGATAGCGCTA